GGAATCTGGAGCGAATGTTCATGCTCAGACGCAAACGGGGGTTACAGTTTTGATATACGCCTGCGAGAATAGTCATATTCTCATTGCTGATCTCTTAGTGGAATTTGGCGCTGATCTAGTATGTTTTATTTTTTATAATTATGGATTTGCAAATTTTTTTTCCGTTTTGATATACTTTTAAGTTGTAGTTTTTTTATCTTTATATTGAAGTACGAATTATCTATATTAATTTATTCTGTCTTATAGAAGTATAAATCAGAGGGAGGTATAACTCTACTGATGAATACAAGTAGAGCAGGTTATGAGCGCACAGTTCACTACCTCGTTTCGAAGGGTGTTAATGTTAATCAACAAACAACAAATAATGATCATATTCCTTCTTCAGTGACATACACTGGTGATCATTTTGCAGTAGTTGAAGCACAAGCTTCAAATTCATCTCATAATTTGAAGGTATGTTGTATTTGAAATATTTAGGTAAAAAATTCATTAATATGTAATCTAATGTATTATAGGATAACTCCACCATGCTGATAGAAACGGCAAAGATGATCACACTGCTGTTGTTCAATCTTCTTCGAACTATTCTGATGGCATAGATATGAGTGCTTTCCAGAATACTTCTGCGTCTATGTTATTTGGTAATAACATTGACACAGAAGTACTCTGGAAAGCAACTTCAACAACAACAGCAGCAACAGCAAGAGCATATAAGTCATCAGCAACATGTACCTCACCCTCAGCAAACATCTACGCAACCGCAACATCAACAACAACAACAAACGCAAAATCTTAAACTCAGACATAATACACAAAGATCATTAATGAGAAATATTCGATATGAGCCTTATATGAGCCATACTTCTGCCGAAGCGCAACAGGTTCGTTCGCAGCCCGCATATTCTCTCGATAAAATTCTTTAATATACACACAAAAACTTTATAATACTTTATAATACTTTATAATATTTTATAATACTTTGTAATACTTTATAAAACTTTATAAAACTTTATATTATGAATTCTTAGATTAACAATGCAAAAAGAAAAAGAATACTTCGAGAGAATGTGATATAATAATATATTTTACAATCTTATTATATTTTATATTTTATCATTATCTTTTTTTTTAATCATGTTATTAATCTGTGCTGGCTCCTCATTGCCTTCCTAATTATGGTTTTGTGTTTGTTTTTTAAATTAAAAAAAAAAAATTTGCTGTGAGGTGTAGCATGTAAGTGATGAGGTGTAGCATGTAAGTGCGACGTTAGTTGACTCGGCATAAAAATACTATTTGTATTATTTGTATTAATTAGATTCGTTTGCTGTTGTGAATGAGGTTGTTGGTGAGATCGTTGTGGTTGTGTTTGTGGCTGCTGGGATTATTGTATTCATATAAAAAAAAATATATAAAGAAACAAGATATAAAGCTAAGAATAAAAATTCACCTGCATTTGATCCAGCTGGAGTTGATAAGGATGCTGATCCCTAAATAAATCATTTTGCAATTCCAGCGCGCCTGGCTCCTCATTGCCTTCCTAATTACAGTTTTGTGTTTATTAAAATTTCGGAGCCTTACTAAACAATTTGTTAAAAAATAAAACTTATTAATAAAATTAATTTTGCTTAATTTTTTTTCTGTACTGCAATAGTAGATCAAGAAATGCAACATTTGCAAACAGAAACAGTACAGCAAAGTAAAAGAAGTTCCTATGGAACTCAAGAATATTTCACTAATCGTGCGCTGTCAGTACCATCAGTTTCACAACCTACGTTGCAAGTATCATCGCTGCAAGCATCCAGTGTCCAGCCAGATATTTTGCAGATTTTACATTCTTTGGAATATCTAATATTAAAAAAATGTGAAGAAGCCTTTAAGGAAGGTTTTCGCCGGGGTCGTTGCGAATAACATGCAACATATTAGCAGTGATACCTTGCAGTAAAATTAATCGTTGCGTCAAATAACTCAATAAAATAATATTTAAAAATATATAAAATAAAATATATAATATAATATTTTATATTGTTATAAAATAAAATAAAAAAATTATTATCATTTTAATTTATTTTAAATTTAAGCATATTTAAAATAAATTTAAAATATATAAAATATTATATTTTATATTTTATTTTATATATTTTTAAATATTGTTTTATTGAGTTATGTGACGCAACGATTAAGACTGCAAGATATCACTGCTAATATGTTACATATGTTTAATTGCAATTTCATACAATTCGATAACATAAAATTTAGACTGACCTCGAATATATCTGGGTCTATGTAATCTGCTATGTTATGACCCTCTGCTAAACATTGACTTCGATGAAGAGGATTTTATGCAGCCAAAATAGATGAAGTATTGTTGTCGACTAGACCACGTTCGTAGTTTGTCAAAGCTTTTGGATAGTTTTCTTAACATAAAAAGATGCTTTTGTTGAACAATAATTTGCAATATACGATAACATTATTATAACATACATGTTTCTAAAATATTTTGTTGAAAATAGCTAAATGATTATTATGCATTATTGCTATGAAAAATCTTATTTGTTTTTAATCACTTTTTGAAATAATGGCATACATTTAATAGAATTTGTAAATCTTACATAAACTCCAACTGTTGGGCGTATTCTTTAGCAATAAAAGGAATTTCGTCGGGTTTTAACTTCTGCGCCAGACTTAATGCTTGTTCCCATTGCATTAAATCTCTCCTTAGATACAAGGCTTGCACAGGTTCGGAAGATTGTAGAAAATACTTTTCGGCTTCGTTATAATTTCCTAATAGTATACAAGCATGGCCACATAACAATGCTAATTCGTCTATATTCTCCATCTTTTGTAATGCCCATACCATCGAAACATCTTCAATTTGTCGATATACGCGAATGGCTATGTACATACAAGTTAAGCATTTTATAATGTCAGTAATAAAAATATGAAATTAAATATTGCCATCTTACCAAATTCAACATTTAAATTTGCAATAGCACTTTGCCCCAGTGTTAGCCATGCATCTTTTTCGTTTAATTTCTCACAACTATTCCATGCTTGTTGAAATCTAAAATATAGATACGAATTTTTTGAAATATTTCATACAAGTTTCTTTTCTTTTAATTACAAATCGTATAATTCTTACCGTCTACACAGAATATGATTATTTAGAATTTCACTAATTTTTTTTGATTCCACAATATTCCCTATATCTTCGTGGGAAGCTAATGTTATTTGTATTAACTTGCTACCTATTGTATTCAATGTAACTTCTCCAGAATACATTAGTAAAGGCACTGAGTCTGATGGCAACTTTGTTGTATTTATTTTTACTACTTTAGTATCTGATAAGTTATATATAATACATAATTAAATAACTAGATACACATATGTATGAAATATCATGATAATAATGCATAATAATCAGTTAATTTACTTACCCTCAACACAGTATTTTACAAAAATATATGTTACAATAATGCTTTTGTTATATATTGCAAATATAGCACGCGTTCGAATATATTCTGATCCCAGAGAATACTGTCAATGTTATCAGGACAATCAGGCACTTCAATGGCCACTTAATTTATAGGGTCAAACACGTAAACATCCGACTTATTGTCGATGAAACACAATTGTGTTCCATTAGCATCCAATTATAACTCTTTTATTCCATTGTTATGTATAAATTCGGTACATGGATTAAACCTTTCCAAATAAAAATACACGATATGACCCATCTAAAAGTTTAAACATGATGCATTAATTTTTATAAATTTATAACCCATTATTCAATATTATCTCAAAGTTTTTAATCTCAAGTTGACTTACATCATTACCGTAAACCAAAAAATCCGAATAGAGAGCACGTTATTCTACTGTGAGAGTTTGAATCTGGGAACATTTTTGTATCTTTCCCGCTGTTTATTAACGCTTCATCAGATTTAATCTGTGTATAAAATAAATCAGTAAAAAATCATTTTGTGACTTTTGTTATTAATTCAAAATTCATTATTACCGAATGCAACTGTAATTTTCCGTCAAATAACGTGGATACATAGATCTCGTTTAAACGCATACTATCTATCGTCGTCAAATAATCTCTCTCGAAATGTATTTTGTCATAATGGTTTATAGATAAATCCCAAAAGAGAGCTCTATTGTTTAATCCTACTGCTAAATGTATTGGACCCACTGCCAATATCGCCGGTTCTATTATAGTATTAATTATTTGCGGGCTTGGCTTGTCCTGAAAAAATAAATTCCTGTGAAGAAAGCTTTATCTTGTCACTTTATGTCTTATTAAATCTTATTAAAAATCGTATTGATACCTTATCTAATATATAAAGATGTACAGTCACTTCCATCAAACTCGTTAATAATGCTATCCTATTACCACACACGTTGGTTAATTTCGGTATTTCTATCCTCAAATATATCAATATATTGCCGATGTAAATCACAACCGCTAACATTGTTCCGTCTGTTGACCATTCGATACTGCTAATTCCATTTTCGCCGGTCACCGAAATCAATGTATCCGTTTCCTCGAGATTCTGCAAACTGTGTACTTTCAAAGTATTGTCACCGCAAGTAGCTACTTTTCCAGCTACTTGACTCAATGCGATATCCGTCAAAGAATCCCCGTGGTTCTTAATTTAAAATAATTCTTGACCAACTTCCTTTATGTGCGTTATAATATCGCTATAAAGAAACCAGCCTCGAATCCTACTAATATATAACCATACCCATACTTGTAAAATAGAAATATACATACATTATCAATATGGTGTATTAGAAAAAAATATTGTATTGCTTTCTGTAGTATTGTATTGCTTAATAAAAAAATAAAGGAAAAGATTTATAAAAAGAACTTGAAATTATCAAATATATTATTCATTCAATCATAGAAGAGTAAAACGATACCAGGGATGTTAAATGTAAAAAATTGCGCATGCATACAGAGTTTTTTGTTTATTAAAATATATATAATAAATTTGTGTATCTCAATATTAGCTTATTTTATAAAAAAAGAATTATACTTGTCAACATTCTGCAAATTAAACATATTATAATGAAATTAGATATTGTAATATTATTCAAACATTGTTCATGTAGCAAACTATATCAATTCTGTATAATCTGCACATACAAAATTGCATATGTGCAGATTATATAGTAAAACGCACTATGTGTTAATTAATTTTAAATATTTTAACAATTTTAATAAGTAAGAAAAAAAAACAATAAAACATTATGTATCTATTGAAAAGTGTAAGTTCTCGCGATTATATTTGAATTCATTGTCCGGTGAAAATTTCACCTCGGGATTCAACAAGCCTATGGCTTTCGGTTTCAATTCATCGTAATACGGTCTCAAAAATATCTGATTCTTCTTTGCTGGATTATAGTATTCATGTCCCTAAAATATTAATAAATCTCGTTAATAATAATATTAAGAATACGCAATTTTTTAATAATAAAATCATAAAAGCTCACAATGTTAAAACTAAAATAAAGTAATGGGTTAATAGGAGCCGTGCGTAAAATGAAGAATGCAGAATAAATTTAATACAATTAATTTAATAATAATAAAATGCGATTTTTTTATTATTGTATTTTGATACTTACCTTAGACCAATCGTAAGAAACAGCATATGCAAATATCTGTCCATTGTGATTAAAACAGCAATGTGTGATAGGTTGCTCCATTGTTTCAGATGATTTTAACTTTGTACGTGCATCTTTATCCCAGAAACCGAAAGTGCCATCACCACCTACAGTTGCTACAGTGCCGTGTACTGGATGGAATGCTATATCATTAACCTGTGCATAAATTGATAAATAATAAAAAATATTATTGCAGTTAGAAGAAATTAAAGTTCTTCTGTAAAAGGATAAATGCAAGCTAAAAAATTTAAACATGATTTTAACAAAATGTTTACCAACCGCATAAATATCTTGATATCTATTTGGTGTACCATTAGTTCTATGATATTTAAATGTGAAATTTTCTTTCGTACTAAGATTGAGATGATGAATCGCTACGCGTCCCTCTGTGCTTCCAATCGCGAAACCGGTCGGAACTTTCTTCTTGTCTCTGAAAATTGCTACACAACGATATTGATACTTCAAGCTCAGTTCAACTGGTTTGTATTCGCGTGGGCTGTCTTCCAGTTGGTAGACTATTAATCCACGTGCAGCTGTTTCCACAACTGCCATTGGATAATCCTGTAATATTGTTAATTTGTATAATTTTACATGTTAGAACAAATTTTATTGTATATATGTATGTATACTTACCACATCGGCGCAATAACATCTTTCAGGTAGATTGATAGTCATTGCAGGTTTAGGACTACGCAAATCCCAAAACTAAAAAGTTTACATTTTTCAATTAAAAAGTTATAAAATATAAATTAATAAACTCTAAAGCAAAAGAAATTTCATGAATATTAACTCTTAGCGTTTTATCCCAGGAACCAGTCATTAGACATGAATATGTAGATGCCTTTATCCAATGACAAGTTCTAATAGGTGCATCATGCGCTGCCACTTGCATGCTCTGATTTGTGGCCAGATCCCAACATTTTGCTGTTTTGTCACATCCTGCCATAAACACCTTGGTTCCATCCTGGCAATATTTATACAGTTTAATATTAATAACAATTAAGTAGTATAATTTTTTACGTAAATATCATAATGACTTATTTTATTAGGGTTTACTACATATACAAAATTTTATTAGAATATTTGATGAATAGGAACTTACATCGCTCCAACATACATCCAAGACCGGAGCTGCCATGCTTTGCATTGATTTAGGTACCGTCTTGCCAGATTGCTCGACTTCCCAACAGCGAACATTGCAATCCCAGGAACCAGCGTGTACTTTGTGTCTCCAAAAAGACAGATATTAAAAGAAAGAAAGAAAGTGCTCTTCTAACACAAAGGACAATAAATTAAAAATACAAAAAATGGCTTTATATAATTTTAAGAAGATTGCAGTTGTTCCATCTGCGAAGGTGATTTTATTTTCGATTCTGATTATAATTGATATATACTGCAAGAGTAGACTTCCCGAGACTGAAGTAACCTGTGATAAATGTAAAAATACATTTTTGTATCGCAACGGTAAAATTTTATTATATTGCCATTCAAAAAATTTTTTTTTAAATATACAGGTATTTTTTTTTATTTTTATCATTACTATATTTATTTATAGGGACGGCATATTGTGGAGGATGATTTCACAGTATGCCCCCAGTGTGATTTTCCAGTCATCAGAAGTGAATTTCTAAGGTAAATATTGCACATATATAGTAAGAAAAACAATAAAAGTGCTTATAATAACTTGTAATGTATGCAATAGGATTGTCGAGTCTGAAGAGACTTGTCCTATGTGCTCCGAGAGAGTTAATCCTGAAATGGTATCATCCATCACTGATATCCATCCGTATCTCGACTATCAAGGGGAGAAGAAGGCGTAATTTTTACATATTTAAACATAAAATACACATCTTTTATTAATGTATAGAGAAAATTTATAGTTTACACAAACTAAGGAACAAATATTATTTTATAGACGTTTGCTGGTAGCTACTGTACAAATCAAACGTGCCTTGTTATTATCATATATCTTAGACGAATACGATATAATCACGAGAACAATTAAAATATGCAAATATAATAGGAATAGTAAATAGTAAATATTCTGACTGAGTTGTGGAAACGATAAAGCGTCAGTATTCTCGATGTAACAGTGCCGTCCACTACAAGTACAATTTATTTGAGTACAAGTATATAAATTTTACATTAGTAATATAAATGTATTATATAAAATATAAAAGAATCAGAGTGTTATTTGTGTCATGCAAGCTGCACTTTAATATAGAATAATTGCCATAAAAACGTGAAATAAAACGATTGATTCTGCGCATTTAACAAGTATGTGTAACAGAATATGAAGCAAATATTAATATTTGTAATATCGTCAATTAATGTTATATATATAATCGTTGCAGCTATCAGAGAGAAGCCTGAGAGCGGCCATCCCAGCCCAGCAAACACAGAATATAACTGCTATATAACATGGGAATAACATGTAATGTAACAGTTGTTATGCCTAATTTATATTGGAATTATATAACTGTCCCTTATTTATGCAATATAACACCAGCATATAACTGCTATGTAACGTGGGAGTAATATATGTAATGTAACAGCCCAAGTAACAGAGTAATGTCAAAAGACGACATAATGACGTCTATTTTTGGTCTATAATGTCGGAGACTAATAATTGACGTTTAAAAGACCTCATTTCTTAGACTAGCCAAAGACGTAATTTTGAAAACGTCCTATGATCGTCCAAATAAAGTTCTTTTGTAACTAATATTGGGATTATAGTTCATTTGCTTACCGCTATGCGGCGCGCTATTCACTATCTATACCCGTATTCAAATTCTTGTCATGAGCGTATATAAAGCCTGCAAAATGCGGCTAATAACATTGTAATTATTTTTATCAGTTCAATTTCTGATACGATTCCCGTACCAGGAAATTCAGATATTGAACTGATTTTTAGAAAATCGGACAGATAAATAATGTTCGATTTTCACTTATTCGGACAATTTATGTCCGAATAAGCAAAAATCGTTCGTTATTATCTTATTTAAATTATTGAAAATATAAAATAGAAATTAACTTCCATACAAATAAAATTTTTAATTTTATATATTAAATTTATATAAAGTTATCTATAATATATATTACATTAATATGTGTTATTATATATTATTACTGTAATTGGTCTTATTTTTGTCGTGAAACAAACTCAGAAAGTTATGTCCCGTGGATGTGACATATCGATGTCATTTTTGGGTCTCATGAGACCTAACTTAGGATGTCTAATTGGTCATTTTGTGACCAAAATTTACTGTTATTGTGACAACAATTTGCTACTTGGGTGGACTATTACATGACTGTAACAATCATATAACATTTTAGTAAGATGTTATATTCATGTTATATAACTGCAATTTTGTATGAGTGGGAAATTACAACTAATGTTACATGTGAATGTTACATGTAACAAATACGTTATATTACTTGTTACATTCCGTGTTATTATGGTAATGTTACAGTTATGTATCTGTGTTTGCTGGGAGCGTTTTCCGTACGATAGCTATCGGTCCCGTACAGCAGCGCCTCTACGTCCATTTTACAGACGCTTGGAACTACATGGCCACGTCCACTTTCGGTGGCATGATAAAACAACCAATTGGTTCATGTCCATGCTACGTCCACTTTTCGATACTGTCGGTCTCGGTTCATGTCCGTGCTACATCCACTTTCAATATTGTCGATACTGGTAGTACCAGAGAGAAACCTGAGAGGGGCCACGCCGCCGTTTTTCCTGTAACGCTTTCTCTAGCCGGTACAGTGGCGCTAACAAGTGAATAAATACAAAATACGTAAGACGTGTGCCTGCTAGACTTGATGATTTGTTGCTTTGTTAATATCGATAC